CTATGAAAATGGGCAAGATTGATTTTTTTTCTTTATTCGGATAGTTTTAAGAATCATTGAGATTCTGGTTAAGTTAATTATGAAAAACGAATATATCTTATACTCCAAATCTGTATATATCTCTTAAGTTTTGTAAATCCGATATTGATTATAGTTATTCTTGTCACTTAAGAGTTAAGCTAGAGGTTCAGAGAATTTAGGCTATGATCTTGCTTATGTTGACTTCATTGCTGTTTTTTTGCTTTCAGAGGAAAAAAATGGGGAGAAATATTGGTTCGGCATTTAGACAAGAGTTGACTAATCTTGACAAAGATCCAGATTCTCACAAGACTACAATGAGCAATTTGAGATCTATTGTGAAAGATTTGGATCCAAAAGTGATACATGTGTTTGTTGATCAACTCTCTGAGACCAAAGAGATTGGTTCTGAGTCTGGTGGCTACACGGTTTCTCTATTCGAAGACCTTGCTCGTGCTCATGGAGTGAAAATTGCTCCTCATGTTGAAATGATCATGCCGGTTATCATAAGGACATTGAGTTCTAGTGAAGGGTCATTAAGTGTTCAACAGGCTTGCTCAAAGGCTGTAGCTGCTATTGCTAGGTATGGAATTGATCCTGCAACACCGGAAGTGAAGAAAAGGAATGTGATTCACTCTCTTTGTAAGCCACTCTCTGATTCTCTTCTTGATTCGCAACATCAACAGCATCTTGCTTTGGGATCTGCTCTTTGTTTGAAGTCACTTGTGGATTGCGATAACTGGCGGTATGCTACTGATGAAATGGTTAATAATGTTTGTCAAAGCTTAGCTGTTGCTCTTGAAGCCACTTCAAGTGAAGCTAATTCTCATATGGCACTTGTTATGGCACTTGCTAAGCACAATTCTTTTATTGTTGAGGCGTATGCACGGCTTTTCGTGAAGTCGGGGCTGAGGATTCTTGATTTAGGTGTTGTTGAGGGAGCTTCTCAGAAACGGCTTATAGCTATACAGATGCTCAACTTTCTGATGAAGAATTTGGATCCCAAGAGCATTTGTTCTGAGCTGGAGCTTATATTCCAAGAGGTGGAGAAACACCAGAAAGATGAGACGTATTATGTCAAAATGGCAGCTTATGAAACCATGATAACAGCAGAGAGATTATTAGGAGAGCCAGATCAAATGTTCAATGCAGAGAAGTGCAAGACCCGACACTCGCGCAGCGGATCAATCAAGTCTACACCGAATCTGAGGTCACATGACCACTGGAGTGTTAACAGTAGACATCATGAGCGTTTTGTAAATGATCAAGAAGATGATGATGTTCTGTTTTCTGGTGTGGCTAGCGGAAGAACTATCGTCTCGGGCTCTCCTTTGGTGACTTACGAAGACTATAAACAAGAAACAGGTTCTGTGGTCGAGAGTCCAAGAAATGGAAATCAGGTAAAAATGCTACAAACTTTAAAGCTATCTCTTTTGTGTGCTCTTAAGGGAAGTTTCATTGTTTTTGCTACTTTGATTTCAGATTCAATGGCGTGGTGTTGAAGATGATAACATAGAGTCAGCTTGGTTTCATCAGAGGAATAGAAGCTCTGAGTTTAACGAATCTGTGTGCTCTAGGACCAACCGCTCAAGAAGTTCAAGACGAAACACGAAGAAGAGACAATCAGGAGACATCTATTCAAACTATCACAGGCACGGTTTTGCACAAGATCCATTCAATGAGCTACTAGAGAACAGACAGCAACTGCAACAGCACAGTGAGAGCTCATCATCATCATCAATATATGATACATCTGGTACTACTACTCCAACCAATACAACAGAAGATATTAGATGTGAGAAACCGAAGTCAGACTTGGATTCTGAGGCCAAACTTAAGCCAGGAGAAACTGAAACAGAATCACCGAGACAGGTTAGGAGCAAGCGTGTGATTAGGTGTGGATTGAGTTTCTTCTCTATTGCAGTTGCAGGGTTTGCTTCTTTCGTGTGGATGTATCTGCAAGATGATATGATGCCTCCTCATCTTGTTCCTACTTGAAGCCTCAGGGATGAACATAAAAAGCTTAGAACTTACTTAGGTTCAAATTCTAGCTTAGTTCACTTGTCCTTTTGTCAATGTTCAAATTCTAGCTTAGAACTTACTTAGGTTCAAATTCTAGCTTAGTTCACTTATTCTTTTGTCAGTGTTCAAATACTAGTTTGTTTCTACACTTTTCCTTGGAGAATTTGTCATGTGTCAAAAAATCGAATCAAATTCTAGACCAAACTAGATTATAATCCGATTTTGGTCTCTATTCGGTACAAGACAAATCATAATTTAGAAGAACGCAAAAAACAAAACGGATCAAAGTCTGAACAATGACTGACGTAAAAAGCAAAACCCTAGTAATAATTTCATTAAATAAAAACGGGAAATTTCAGTGTTGAAAGGAACCAATCAACAAAGCAACAATGACAAAACCTGAAGTCGGTGGCAGGTATATAAAGATCACAAATCTTAACTGAGACACACCAAAAATTCTCTCAGAATTGAAAGAAAAAAAAAAAAGGTCACAGAAGAAGAGTTTCACTACGAGGGTATTTGTTCTACAGCTTAGTCTTCGTCCCCGCCTGCACCTGCGGCTGCAGCAGCGGCTCTGTTTGGCCCTCCTGCTTGTTTCGCCATTATAATCTGCACAATTAACATACACCAGAGTATAAATATATGCTTTACTCAATAAGATTGATTACAATAGGAAATGAAATGTTTAATCTAAAGAGTTTGCAATCGGAAAAAAAACTTAAGGAGGCTATGTTTATATGTTAATCTTGGAAGATACTATATTGCATTATGTGATGGAGGTACGCCACCTTATAACTAAAATGAAAGAATAGTTGGTTCACAAAAGACTAAATCAGGTCGATTTGTTCATACCTGGTCTACGCGAAGCACCGTGCATGCAGCATCAGAAGCATACTTGAGAGCAAATAACCTGCATAATGAGTTAGTGTATTAGTAAAAGAAAATGAAACAGTGCAGAAAACTTTAACTTCAGCTTTTATATGAGTAGAACAACTACTACGCAATTACAGAGAAGAACGAATGAAAGATCTAATGGATGAAACTTACTTGGTTGCAAATAGATCCCATACTTTTGTCTCTGAGACATCTTTACAAGCACCTTCCTCCAAATCAATGCCTAGCTTTGTGTTTCCAGATCCGTGTCCAGTGTACAGAGAGGCTATGATTTCCATTGCATTGAGGCCAGCATTATCTGCAAGAGTTTTGGGAACAAACTCGAAGCTCTCTGCGTATTTGGAGATGGCATATTTGTCCAACCTGAAAAGTCAAAGTAAAACCCGAAGTTTAGCCACCAAACCATAGGTAATTTTGTATAAAAAGCTAGCCTTACATTGAAAATATTTCACATGACACAAAATGTTAACATCAGAAAAGCTGAGTAATAGAAAGTACCCTGTTTCTGCATTGGCATATTCCTTCAATCTCTGAGCCAATTCTATCTCAGTAGCTGCAGCCCCAGGAAGAATACGGCTGTCTCTGCACATGGCCTGAGAAGAAGTGTATAAGTAATAGCAACGATAAAGGCAAAATACAAAATATTTAGGATAAAGAAATACAGATAGGGCGAAAAAATGTTAATCCAGCAGATATTACCTTGTATGTATTAACTCCATCGTCAACAGCTCTTTCAAGGTCGTCCAAAATGCTCTCTGTGCTCCCACGCAAAACCACTGTAGAAATGGAGTTACCACCCTCCTCATTTCTTGCAATCGTAACCTAAAGACATCACAAGAAGACCAAGAATTGCCTTTTGTCAATGGAAGACAAAAAAAAAGTTATCCAAAAAGATAGAAATTAATTTCAATGGAGTACTTACTGTCACACCACCAATTTCCTCAACGGAAATAGAATCAACATATCCCAGGTCATCAGGGCTTGGCCGGCTAAGCTTCAACTGTTTATAATTATGAAGTATTAAAAACTAGGATAAAACACCCTTATATACTCATACAGAATGCGAATATGAAACACTTACATGAGCGACAGCCCCAGCTGTTCGGCAGAAACGCCTCAGTTCAAACTTTGAGCTGATCTTCAATACCATTATCCTGCCAAAAGACATTTATATCATATGCAGCTACAAGGAAAAGCGTCTATGGGATACCAAAAGTGCAAGCGATGGTTAACACATACTTGTAACGCTCACAGAAATGCAATGCCATTTCTCCAACAGGTCCCCCACTAACAATGACTTTGGCTCCTGATTCAGCAACAGCCTTGATCAACTCCTCAACTTTAGCTTCTTCTGTTTTAGCGTAATTCTCTAACTACAAGACCCAGAAAGTAAAAGAGATGTCATCATAATGGCTAAAAAAAAAAAAAAAACTATTCCCCCACATGAGAAATAGAGAGATACAAAGGTAAGTGATGTAACGTTGGAGATTCATATGCATCAATCACAAAGAATCATCAGCTAGTTTAACCACATCACATTAACAGCCTTGTGAATACAACATAGAGATTCCACACTGTAGAAAGAAATACTAACCTGCGTAGCACTATGAATCAGAACAGTTCCTTTTGTCTCTGTCGCATTAGTATCAACGCCACCGGCAAACACAGCAACCTGAAGAAAGTATAAAAATGGTTACAGAGAACAGGAAATACATACCCACAAAGCTATAATTCTTAGAGGCACAAATTTGATCATATCAGACCAAAAACATGGCCAAAAGCACAAATGAGAGGAAGTGATCTCACCTTGGCCTTCTCCATTCGCTTTATGCTCCCAACAGCATCACTTTTCAAGACCATACCACGGACAATACAGGAATTGTGAAGACCTCCTCCCAAAAGCTTGGAAACACGGACATTATCCACATTGAAGTTAGTTGGATTCTTCGGGCAGACTTGAATGCATGCCTGGAAAATAAGTGCACCCATTAACCAACAATAACCTTGAAGAAATGACGATATACACAATGAAACAGTATATATAACACAAAAGGATAACAAGGAATAGTTACATCAGCAACTAAAGAGCATATTATCTCCTCTTGCCCAAACTGCTTGCTTGCAACAGCTGCTCTCATCCTAAATACAACTTCTTCCTTGTTACGCACATCCATGGTCTCAGAACCACTCTCAACAAGTTGTTCCAGAATTTCAACAACCTGCACAATAAACCAAAAACATTAGTCCAACACTCAAGACAAACAAGAGTAACAAAATGAAAAAGTATCCACACTAATCATTCACCAACCTTAATGGTTGCTTTAAGGTATCCACTAATGATCTCACTAGGATGCAGCCCCATCCTGATAAGCTCCTCAGCGTTCTGAAGAAGCTCACCAGCAAAAGAGATAACCAGATTGGCTCCATCTCCAATCTCTTCTTGCTGAGCCTTGGCAGCTAAAACAAGAATTTTCGCAGCAGGGTGCTGAATCTCCAGTTCATTCACAATAGTACCAGCATCACTTGTGACAAATAGTCTATCTAAATGATTAATAACCATTTTATTCATCCCTAAAACAGCAGAAACAAAGAAGGTATAAGATTCCAACACTAATAACACTCAGTTCTAAAACCAAATCTGAGCCTATGAAGAAACAGATCAAGTGAGATCCTACTTGGAAACTATCAAATACTCGAAAGAATGAAACGAATCAGATAAATGAGATTCAATAGATTTGCTAATCCAGAACAACAACAAAAAAACCAAAATCATTGAAACATTACGAACCATTGGGGCCGTAAGAAGTGCGAGTAATGGTGGAGAGCTCCTTGCAAGCTTCAATGTTCTTAATAACCGCCTCGTCTAAGCCCGAGAGATGCCTGTAACCTTCTTTAAGCATCGATTGGATTCCATATGGCTGCATCGAGAAACCCATTTTCTCTGATAATAACGATCTG